TTATATTTAAAATAAGATGTTTATCCTGTATTTGATTATGTTTATTTGCAGTTAGTTACACGAATTCAGATATAGAGCTTTAATAAGTTGTACTTACGCATAATCTACTTGCAATCTTAAGTTTTAAGTAATATGAATTATTAAATAGTACTTTACGCATAAAAAATGGTTTTTAGAGTTTTTGTCAAATGTTTTATAATATAGTATAGATTTATCAAGCCCAATCAATCATCTTTTAATGTAATTATCATAATTACATGTTACACACACAACTTAATAATTATTACTCTACTAAAATATTAGTTATCTATCTTTATTATATCACAACATGTAATACAATCTTTCATGGTTCATGATCATCATGATCAAATTTAGGATATACATTCGTAATGCATACAACCCTCATAGGTTCATTTGGCCTCAGCAGTGTTTATATGTGGCATGGACATATTGAAACTTACATGAAGAATTTCATTAGTCATTTGGATACGAAAGAGTACTTTCTTCCTCCACTCTTTCAGTGTTAGCAAATTTGTCACAGTCAAATTGTTTTAAGATCACATGTCTTACCTTCCTAACTTTCGCAACAAATCTGTAATTCTTTATTTTAATACAAAATATGGTTTTGGATTTCCTGATGGTGCACCGGAGAAAAAAAGGGAGGGAAGCCGACTAGTCAGCCAAAGGTGTCTTGAGTAGAGTTGTTTGCAGTCCGGTTTGAACAGTTTAACCCCTCAAACCATAAACAAAACCACAATGGCGGTTTAGAAAATTTCCAAACCGAGTGATTTTGAAGCAAGTGACCAAACTGGTCAAACTGAGCCAAAAAAAAGTGGACTGGTTTGATTGTGTTTAGGTGGTTTGGGCCTCTTATGTGATTTAAACCAAAAAAACATAATATCTACATCGGAAATGAAATTTCTATCAATATAACATTGAAAAAAATAGTATACCGCATTATAAAAGAAATATCTATCTGAGCAAGTCGAAAAAAAATTTAAACAAGTCCACCAGTAATAGATGAAATTTTGGACAAGCATTAAGCAAGTCGAAGGACGAATTGGAATTTTGGCAATTTAGATAATACGGTCAATTGAGAAATGGAAACTAAAATCATAATGTCTTGGACAAAGTTTTTTTAACTGTATCATAAAAATTGAGTCTAAAACATGAAAACTAAATTTAATTAATACAAGTATATTTTTAATGGTCGGTTTGATTTAGACTGCTCACACAAACATTCAAACTACATACCAGACCGCATTGAGCAGTTTGGCTATTATTCATACCAGACCAGACTCAAATCATTAAAATGGTATGCTTTAACTTGATTCGGATAATAAGCTCATGAGTTTGGTCTTACTTCACTGTCGAGAAACGAAAGAAGACTTCCATCTTTAAGTTTAACTAAAAGGTCCAACAGTTTTTTTAAGCATCTCTAATTTTAAAGAAAAATAAAAGTAATAAATAAAAAATAAAATAACCATATGTAACCAAAATTAAAGATAAAAAATAATAACTAGGAGAGTACTCGAGCAATGCAGCGAGACACATCTCGATTTTAATGTTCTATTTTATTATTTGTCTCTGTCGATGTTATAATACGATTTTATGTGTTTTTAATAAAGCAATAATGATTTTATTTTTGAATAAAATATAAATTTGATGATATTATAAAAATTTGAATAAAAATATATCAATGTTAATATCAAATCAACTATTTAAAAGTTTTCATAGTATAGATTATGTGTTTTTAAGAAAGCAATAATGATTTTATTTTTGAATAAAATATAAATTTGAAGATATTATAAAATTTTGAAAAATAAATATCAATATTAATATCAAATCAACTATTTAAAAGTTTTATGTAATTTTTTAGTTTATTTTTTATTATAATTTAATTTAAGTTTRATAAYRAAAYAATTTATTTTTGGTTTAATAATATAACATTTTATAAAGATAATAATTAAGTATTTTGTTAGAATTCAATGATTATCCTAAGGAAAAATTGCATCAAAATAGAACCAACTTTCACTTAATTCTATTTTGGAAAACCAACTTTTAAAATCGTCATTTTGGGGAACCAACTTTTTCATCTGATTCCTATTTTGGGGAACCAACTTTCACCTGATTTTTATTTTGGGGAACCAACTTTCAAAATCGTCATTTTGGGGAACCAACTTGCACCTTATTCCTATTTTGGGAAACCAACTTACAAAATCGTCATTTTGGAGAACCAACTTGCATCTGATTTCTATTTTGGAGAACCAACTTGCAAAATAATTATAGAAAAATAACTAAAATTCGTTTTTTTTTCAAAAATTAATGCAGTAAAATCTATTTTTCATTTCAAATCTAGTTTTTTTTAATTCAGATATCAAATTGAAGATTTTTTCGAAAAAAATTTCAAATTACCACGATAAAAATTGTTTTTTACTAATGCAATAAAAAATCAATTTAATAAAAAAAAATTAATTGATGCAATAAAAAAATAAATATTAAATATCACATTCAAGATTTTTATATCTAACCAATTTTTGTCAATATTAAAGTTTAAATCAAATTTGGCAAATCCAATCAAAAGTTTGATAGAGACCCTTAAATTACCTGTTACATGTTCAACAGATCAACTAGACTCTTAAATAAACAAAAAGTTTGATAGAAACCCTTAAATGACGATTTTAAAAGTTGGTTCCCCAAAATAGAAATCAGGTAAAAGTTGGTTCCATTTTGGTGTAATTTTCCCATTTTTCTATAATTATTTTGCAAGTTGGTTCCCCAAATAAGAATCAGGTGCAAGTTGGTTCCCCAAAATAACGATTTTGAAAATTGGTTCCCCAAATTAAGAATAAGGTGAAAGTTGGTTCCCCAAAATGACGATTTTGAAAGTTGATTCCCCAAAATAGGAATCAGGTGAAAGTTGGTTTCATTTTGGTGCAGTTTTCCTTTATCCTAATTATATTTTAGATTTTTTATATTTAAAATGAGATGTTTATTCTGTATTTGATTATGTTTATCTGCAGTTAGTTACTCGAATTCAGATATGGAGCTTTAATAAGTAGGGATGGTGATTTGCCTCGACCCGGTGGGGAACCCGGTTCATCCGACCCGAACGGGGACGAGGATTCCCCGCTAAAACGGGTCCCAAGGCCAGGGATCACCAGTAGAATCCCGGGGACGGGGGATGTTACTCAAACCGGGGCCGGGATCCCCGGTAGAATCAAACTAAATGATATTCTTTTATAGGGTTTGACCGGGGCTTGACTGGGGTTTTACCGGGTTTTGACCGGGGATTGCTAGAATTTGACCGGGGACGGGATGATAATCCCCGTACCCGCCGGAGACCGGGGCCGGGGGACGTTATTACAAACTGGGGTCGGGGATTACAAAACCCGCCCCATCCCTGTCCCGTTGCCATGCCTATTAATAAGTTGTACTTACGCACAATTTACTTGCAATCTTGAGTTTTAAGTAATATGCATTAATAAACAATATTTTATGCATAAAAATGAGTTTTAAAAGTTTTTATCAAATACTTTATAATATAGTATAGATATTGAAAAGATGAAAGCAAAAGTATTTTGTTTTATACATTGAAAACATTTAAAAATATATTTAATCATTTAATGGGCTCCATAAATATAAAATATAACCGTTTGAAATCTTTTCGACTCTCAACACTCGCTCATCTCTCTCACTCGACTCTCAATCATGGATCACCCCTAAATCGGTTCTCCATCTCTGCCCTAAGTCGACTCTCGGCGTTCCACTCGTTCTCCTTCTCCTTCTCCGGCGAGATCTGGTCTCGGCTCTTTAGTTTGGTAAATTCTTAGATTCCTTAAATTTTCAATTTTTCATAGATGAAGTTATCTGTTACGTTTAGATTAGGTTTATTTCAATACTTGATACCTCCATTGCAGATCTTTCTGTTCAACAGTTTGGAACTTACATGCTTTCTGTTAAGTTGCAAATGGAGTTTGCAGGAACAGTAGCTCTTGTGATATGATTTGATGTGTTTTAATTCATAGGATTGAAGAAGAAATATAATGACAATCAAGCAAATATGCTGAACAGCTACATCCATGGCCACCAATTCTCTCCGATCTCTCCGCCACTTGGCCGGCGGCAGTCGTTGCCACTATCGTTTACTATTCAATCAAACAATGCTAATAATCCCACCCTCTCCATCTCCATCTCCATTTCCATTTCCTCCGCTGTAAAAACCTTCTCTCTCCCCTCCTCTACTTCCTCCTCCGTCCAATCAACCTCCTTTGACCTACTCCAACGCCTCCTCTCCACCAACGACTTCCGAGAAGCCGACAACGAGACTCGCCGTCTCCTTATCGGCCTCGCTGGCGAAGCCGCACAGAAACGCGGCTACATCTTCTTCTCGGAAGTCCAGTTCATACCCCAAGTATACCTCCAAACCATAGACCAACTGTGGAGGAATCACAGCAGCAACAAATTTGGGTACAGCGTCCAGAAACGATTGTGGGAGAAATCAAACAAAGATTTCACAGCTTTCTTCATAAAAGTTGGGTGGATGAAGAAGCTTGACACAAAAGAAGTATTGCAGTACAACTACAGAGCTTTCCCGGATGAATTCGTGTGGGAACTGAATGACGAAACTCCAGAAGGTCACTTGCCATTGACGAATGCACTGAGAGGGATCCAGTTGCTGAAATGCATTCTAAGCCACCCTGCATTTGCAGACGCCATTGAAGAAGATGAAAGAGAAAAATTGCAGCAGGCACTTGGGAAAGGAGTGGTTATACCTGATTACAGTTTTTAATGGAAACAATTAAGATGAATTATGATATGCATTTCTTGAAACTTCAATTCACGATTCAATTTGATGTCTATTTGTTTTACTTCTTGAACTATTTTCAATTATGCAATACATATTTGGGAATCAAATGTACTGCAACTCTTTATTTCTTTTCGGAATATAATCATATTATTTCAAACTTATAATCAATGGGTTGTAGGAATAAAGTGCGATAGATATAAATCACATAAAGCTCAACACGAAAACCCTTGCTTGTAGGTACACATACTTAAACGAGTTCATAAACCTAAAAACGCTTTTTGGTTTATGACAATATCGCCCCCTTTATATTAATAATGAAATTTAATAAAAAAATTATGTTTTTAGGATCGTTTACCAAATACTTATCGACAAGAGTCGTCACCCTGGGTAAGATTCGTCATCTTACCGGGTGAGTGCTTACCTGGGTAAGATTCGTCATCTTCACTTACCGGGTAAGACTAGATCCCCATCATTTTCATCGCTCTTACCCGGTAAGATTCTTGGCCTTTGTCATGTTCATCCGATAAAGAAATTTATCCGGTGAGCACGTATCAAGTACGCATTTAGTAAACGGCCGCTTACTATATCATTTCAAGTAAATATATGATTGCAGTTCAGGTCACTTGTTTTTCTTCGATTTTCTTAGTTTCATGTGTCTATTTAGCTTGATAGGGACTCGATACAATTTCATGTAAAACTTGTGATTTATGAATTTAAATTATTTTGTTTTAAGTTTCAAGTTCCAAAAAATTGACGGTTTCTGTTTATTTGTGGATTTTTGTTTAATAAAATAATAATAACTAGTATATGTTAGTATTCGTTACATCAAATCTGATGTAGGATTTGATAGCTTTGTTAAAATGATTTAGTGTCAAATTTAGTATCTTATTTAAGACTGTGTCGTCGTTTAAATTAAATCAATACTTTAAAATGTAGAAAAAATATTTTGATTTTCTTAAGGAGATAAGTTTAAAAAAAATATTTTAAAATGTAGAAAAAAATATTTTGAGTTTTTATGCTTAATGTTGGCTCAAATATCATAATCATGCTTAACGTTGTCATCCTTTCAAAAATATACTTCAAGCTGCATGTTTCCAAAATACCTTCGCTTCGTGCAAAAAAATTACCCTTCTCGGTTCTTTTTCATTTCTCTCTTTCTCCGATGGACATAAATACCCTAAACGGCGTTTGGTTTATTAAACGATTTTGACGGATTTGGATTTCGTGAAAAGATTTGGAATTAGAGGCATTTAGATTTTGAAAGGATTTGGAATCTTTGGTTTGTAAGATTTCGATGGATTTCAAAGAAAACCTAGAATTTAAAATTCGAGCAATCCTGCAAACCAAACATGAGATTGAAATAGATTTGAATTCCAAATCCCTCCTAATCCCTTTTATTCCTGCAAATCAAACTGGACTAAAATTTTAAGAGATGTTAGATTTCATCAAATTGAGAAAAGCTTAAAACCTCATTCCACTAGCCATGACCATGAAATGCTAAAAGTTCCCCCTTCACACATGAATTTCCAAAAAAAATAATACAACATCAACATGTACTTGATTACAGATCATGACTGACGTCTTCTCTTCGATCGGGAATGGTTGCAGGGCCTTAGAGCAATAATAAGGTAATATTTGGTACGTAGACATGATTGAACTTGACTGAACAAGACAAGAGGATTAAACTGGACAAGAATGGATTAAACAAGAAAGGATTGAATAAGACTAGACATGACAAGTCACCTGTCTGGTTTTTAGTATGACCATGATCGGATAGGAAAGGACTAAGTGGTGGTAGCTAGTGGACAACAACGACTGTGGAAGACGTGAAAATGGTGGTGGTGGCGACCAATAGTGATGGAGGAGGTAGTTGTGGCCAATGTCGTGGTGTTAGAGGTCGTGATTGGTGATGATAGTGGTAGCAGATGGTGGTAGTGGTAATGGTGGAGGTGGTCGACAATGGTTGTGGAGGAGGTGAATGTGTCTGGAGATGGCCAACAGTGGCTGCCAGTGACCTATTTAAGTTTTAAAGTCGTTTGTAACTGCAAGCGTACAATGTCTTTGCATATGGGCCAAACACGAGGAGACAAAGGGAATAAGCACATATTTACTCACAATATTAGCTAGTTGCATGCAATCAAAATTCAAATGTTGGATTTACACTGCAAATGAAAATAACTCAATTAATCACTTAAACTAAATTAAACATAACAAAGTTAAGAATCAAACTAGGCTAACTACACACATGAAACCAACGAGAACATAAAACTAGTTAACAACTAAAACGAGAATCGAATGACAATCTAATTAACACTAACAACTCAAATTGAAAAAACATTAAATTTTATACTAAGCTATCTTAAATGGTGAATATCGGTTCAGACCTTTCAAAGTGGGATTTGCCAAATTCAAACGTCACTTTTGCCCCTCTTCCAAGGCGACAAAACTCTTTCTTAATTGAAAATCGATTATTTATGTATTGGTTAATTCTAAAAAGGAGCATTAAAACCACAAGGGTGGTGCTTGATTGGTTTGAGCTTGACTCCAAAGGTCAAAAGTACCAGGAGGTCCCAGGTTCAAATCCAAGGAGGAATAAAAATCCCCTTGTGGCCACGGAGGTTCAAATGCGGTRACTCCSGGYTATCTGCAAAGCAGGTGGTCGTCCTGGGATTAGTCGGCTCGTATAGCCGGTTGGATATTCAGGTTAATAAAAAAAAAGGAGCATTAAACGAAACAAAATATTCCCATGTAATCAAAACATCTATTTTTCATGATGTGATAAAAATCACCAATTGGTCAACCGAAGTCAAAACTAAATTTCCATTTAGATCTCAACAGTTAAATTCAACAATTACCGATTAGTGATCGTTTAACAACCCCTAGCTCTCGTTAGTCGGCCAATCAAACAACCATTTTATCGGAAAATTGTTTGCTTAAAACAATCAATTGATACAAATTAAATCCTTACCAACATTCACGTTAAACTAAGAATCAAACAAACATAAATCAAAGGAACATGATATTACTATGAATCAACCGAACATGAATCGAGAAAACAAGATATTAAACCGATAAATTGACTAATCAAGAACTAATCTATGAAGAAAATGATTTAGACAAGAAAAAACACATAAACCCTAGATCTAGAGTACAAAGAACATTAAATCGACATTAAAATCTAATCTAGAAACCATGAATTCTTACCTAAATCTGAAGAAAAACAAAGTTATGAAGCTATTTGAATAATTTCAGGAAATAAACATAACCAAAACCAAGGTAAAAGAAAAAAAATCACGAAATCAGTTTAAAAATCTAAATCTAAGAACCAAATAATTGCAGAAAATCAACAATCAAAACTCAAAGATCTAAGCTGTTAACATGAATCAAAAAAATAAATCGAAGCATAAAAGGGTGAAAGAAATGCAACTACTCTCTAATTCAAAGATTCATTCCCAAAATCGAATTCAATCCATGGCAATAGCTGCAAATCCAGAGTTTGTAAGCTCCAATATCCAAATTAAGCTAAAAATCTAGTCTAAAATGTAAAGGAGGACCTCAAAATGGAAAAAAAAAGTACGATGGAGGCTTAAACCTTAAAAGAAAGCATCAAAAACCTTAAATATTCGGACGCAAATGACTGAAATAACCCTAGCAAAAATTAGATCTTTGGGCCTGTAGCGCCGTTCGCGGGCGCACCCTTTAAATGCTAGCAACCACGAGCAATGCAACTAAATCACTCGCGGGCGTGAGCTCCAACTTCTTTTCTCCATCTTTTTCGTTTTCAACACCGCTTGCATTTCCTCCCTCCTCTTTCTGGAGTCCATACACACTGAAATACTTGCAAAACATGAATATATCTACGACAAAGTAATAGACATTGAAAAGAGAAAAACTATATAAAAAAGGTAAGAAAAATGCATGAGACGCGCTAGGAATGGATACAAAAACAATGCAATTTATGCTATGAAATAAGAATAAAACGTGCAAAACATATGACCTTTGGTGGTAGTTATGGTGATGGAGAGTGCTAACCATCAGGGCTATATCGAATGAGGGTAGATTAGTAATTTTCTAGTTTCTGTCTCATTCTTATCTCATCTTGTTCCATCTATTTTTGTGAACCAAAATAAAGTCTTTTTTGTCCAGTCCAATCCGAATCCCTTGTCCATGTCCTATGTCACATAAAACGTGGAGGAGTGGGTTTTTGTATCCTGTCCCATGTCGCAGTATACGTGGGACAACGAGTTTTAGTAGTCCTATCACATTTAGTTTTATGTACAAGACGCAACCCAATGTTGTTTTTGGGTAAACAAATCAATACAAAAAAAACCCACACATTACAGACAAAAACTAAGTTTGATCTTAGAAACAGAAAATGAATAAACGACAGTCAACACTAAACCTCCATGAATCATATTCTTATAATGTACCATGAAATTTGTTTGAGCACGTCAAGTCTTTCGTCGTCCCCCTCTCCCCGTCTTCATCAAAACCCATTGAACCTCATCGAGTTTCATCAAATCGTGACCCTCATCGAGCAAATCAAGCACATTTCAGCAGGTGGAGCCCTCCGCCCATCCCCCTCTCACTGTCTTCGTCGAGTAGGTCGAGCCCTCCGTTCTATTATCTCTTCTCTGCGGGAAACGAAAATCCAACTTGTGAAAACAAAATCCAATGTATAGAAGTGAAAGCCCAACTTGTGAAGGGAGGAAATACCAAAAATCTTGGGGGTATTTATGTCATTAAGAAAAATTAAAAGCATATATTTGAGAGAATATTTTCTTAGGCAAGATCAAGCATAGAAACTCAAATTTCCATTATTGATTCGGGAAGCATAAAACTCGAATTCCGTTGATAAAAGGTGAAGTCATCAGAGGAACTTGCCGACTGCTACTGAGATCAATGGCTTCTTCCAACTTTATCTCTCTCTACTTCTCCATATTCATCATAATCTCTTCTCTTCTTCATTCTACTGAATCCTTATGCAGCACCAGACCTCTCATTTTCAATTTCGGTGATTCCAACTCCGACACCGGCGGCCTCGTCGCCGGTCTCGGTTACTCTGTCACCTCTCCCTATGGTCGCACTTTCTTTCGCAGATCCACTGGTCGTCTCTCCGACGGTCGCCTCGTCATTGATTTTCTCTGTAAGCACGTTATTGCTTTGTGCTTGGATTATGTTAATTACTCTCAAATCAGTTGTTCTTTTTTCTTCTTCAAAAATGGTAATGCGTTTTGCTGCTACTGTATGAAGTAAACACAATTAGCAAACGGATTCTGCTACATCGATTAAATGAGGTGATATGAATCCGATTGAAAAAAATGCCGCACCGACGTCCATAAGCGGAATTATAATACTCTGTAAATCCTAGCTAATATTATTACCATATATTTATTTTTATAAACAGTTGGTTTCACGTGTTTTCTAGTAACGCCATGTGTTGTGATTTGGATGGAATCCGTGATTTATATTTGGGGAATTATTTGTAAAAAGTGGATTATAAAATCTGAATAATCTTTTACCCTCAGATTCTTGGTTTTTTGTTCTTGCAGACAAGAGAAGCGACAAAGTCAAACTTAAGCTATATATTAACACATATAATCCAGTAATTACTCATTTGTTTTGAGATTAAAGCCTAAACTTCTTCATAGATCTGTGTTCTCTTTTCCCAATTAGATGTTCAGCGTGTTAGATTCGAGTGATAGATTGCCTGGAATTTTTGTTTATTTTGCTCCCAGTGATCAAGAATTTAGGTGTACTGTTCTTGTTAGTGTCTCGGGGTGATGAAGGGGAATAGGGGATGAACACAAAAAAACCGAGAGAGAAGAAAGAGACCTTAATTATTAGGATTTGGGGTATGTGGTGATGTGGCGAGGATGTTGGAAAAGGAAAAAGGAAAGTGGCATATTTTCACTTTATACCCTCTAAAATGCTATTACACCACAAGAGTTTAATTTTGCCTTTGAGCATAGTGAGTCATTCTTAACTTCAGTCTAACTGATAGTAGATACTATCTTCTTGTAGAAAAATTGGTAACTTCATTTTAATTACATGAAAACATATTCATAGAAATATTTTTCAGCTATTATTTCGGTGGTGCACCATATTTAGATGTTTCCTCAAGCTTTGTATTTTCTCTTTCGTAGGAGGCATGGTACATGTTTGCTCAATGAAAACATAAATTGGGTTGAACAATGATGATAAAACAGAGTAAAGTAAAGTGGAAGTCCTCACTTTATTTAATAGAAATGATGGCTATATATAGCCTACAAAGCAAACGTGAAACAGAAAATCAGGAGCAAAATCAGATGACTAAGTCTATACATCTTATACCAATTCAAAATAAATATCCCCTACAAAACAGGTAGAAGACCTTTTATTCTGCAAAACTAACTGACCACTTCAAAACACTTCAATAATTCCTCCCCTTAAACTAAAATGCTTGTCAAACATCTAGTTTAACTTTCTTGAGCCTGTACACCAAGTAAACCGCGTAACCTGACAAACGTCTCCAACTTCACTGGCTTTGTCATGATATCAGCAACCTGCTCTTTTGTTCCACAAGAAACCAGCTTAATAACTCCTTGATTTGTGAGATCACGYAGGTAATGGTACCTCACGTCAATATGTTTGGTTCTTCTATGCATCACAGGATTTTTTGATAACTTGATCGTCGAGCTGTTATCGCAAAAGATCTCTATTGTACCAT